TCCGGTTCCCTGGATTTATTGCGCCAAAGCTCCCATTCAAGATAGTGTGACCAAGGTTACAGATATCTAAGCCCAACCGATCGTTGATAACTGTTAACCGTATCATAGGCCTAATTTTCAAAATTGTCGTCCATGGGATTTGAACTCTAGACCTGCCGCTTGGGGGTGCAGCAACCCTACCACTTCACTAGGTCGCCACACCCATAGTTTTTTTTATAATTATATTACTTTAAACAAAATAGTAATTACAAAATTTGAAAGTTTTGTGAGTTTTTTAACTTTTTTTTTTTGAAAATTTTAATAAAATTTTTTTTGTAAATTATTTAAATATATAAGAATAAAAATTTGTAGCTATGTATAATAATTTATTATAATAAGTTTTAGGTTTTTATTTTTATATATTTATTTATATAAATAATTTTAACAAGTTTAAAACATTTATTATTTTTTTTTTTTTGATATTAAAGATGATTTTTTTTGGCTATAACTTTTTTATTAGAAGTTAAATTTTAGTTACAATAAAAATACAACTAGCCACACATACAACTTTTGATTATCTATTTTAAATAGTCTACTTGGGTTCTACAATAGCTATTATACCTGCAATCTAATTAAGAAATTATCTATTTAAGCTTTTTGGTTTTTACAAACAAGAGTATAACTAGTCACTTATACAACTTTTGATTGCTTATTTAAGTAGTCTGCCCTAGGTTCTACACTAGCTACTATATCTGCAACCCAACTAGGTGATTATCTATTTAAACTCTCTGATTATAACCTAATTTTATTTAGTAAGGTTTTTAACTCTGTTTATTTTTTTTTAATTTTTTTTATTTTATTTTTTTTTTAATTTTGGCAATCTTGCTTTACTTTATTTATTAAACTGCATAATTATACAATTATGCTTATATGTAAAACTAAAAAAAAATAGCTCTAAGTATTGTTTTAAATACAAAGAAAGCTCATATAGCTGCCTTATTGCCTGCAACATTTGCTGATTTTTAGTGCTTATATGCAATCTGCTTCAACAACATGTTCTCTTTTTTATAGGGCTCTAACTTTTTAAAACTTGTCTGCAAAATTACCAAAAGCCTGTCATTAGCTTGTCAAGATTGCTATATTTCTCTTTTTTTAAAACTTTTTCCATCTAAATTTAGGCAGAAAAATTTATTTCTTACTTCTATACAAAAAAACAAAACCAAGTACTATATTTACAAAAAAACAAACCAATTTAGAAAAGAAAAAAAGAAAATAAATAAAGAAAATAAACCTAAACACTATTTAATTATAACTAAAAAAAATAAAAAAAAAGCATAAAAAAAAGAAAAACACAACAACCAAAGATAGCACTGCTATAACCTGCATTAAGGTTTAAATTATATACTACTTAAAAAGCTATGTTCATATATCTCTATTGTAAAGCTTTGCTTTACTACTAAATTTTTTTTTATCTTGGCAAACCAACTTCAGAAACTTTTAATCAATCCAATTCTAGTCTGTAACCTGGAGTCAATTCAAAATAGTAGCTTTATGCTTGTTTAGGTCAAATATGTAGTTGCTATCTACTGCATCATCTAAATATAGAAGTTATAAACAATGCTAATCCTTTGACAAAAGTAAGGTGTTTTGTCCACTTTTTAAAAATTTTTTGTCACTAAGATAGGTAAGTAATAAAGGCCAAAAGAGTAGCAAAAAATATATCAAAGAAATAAATGAAAAAGTTATACTATATAAAGTATTGTATTTTATTAAGCATTTATTTTTATTTTTATATCTATAGTACTTGACAAAGCTTTAGAGTTGCTTTATTACTTCTTTGCTTAGTAATATACTGCATTTAGAACACACAAACCCCTTAGAAGTGGTGTGAAGAGAATATAGTATCTACTGTATAAAAAAGTAAAATAAAATTTTTTATACAAGGCTAATACGGAGATTTCAGGCGTGGTCTCAAAACAAAAAAAATTCATTGCAAGGTTTTGGTACTATATAACACTGACCCTAAATCTTAATATAATTCACGTATTTTTTTCATTAAAAATAAATTATATCAGATATATATATGAATTATATACAAATATATACGTAAATATAAATTTGGTACAATACGCCCTTGTTTTGATTATATTACGTACAGTACGTACTAAAAATTTTCACAATAAACATTTTTGTTATTCAAAAAAAAGATATTTGATCATGTGATACAGTATCAGACACAACGACCTAAATGAATTTTTGTGCAATTTTGATTGGGAAAGTTGGCTTTTTTTTTTTTTTTTTTGCTGCAGGGTAATGACAATTTCTTTAGAACTAGAATAGTACAGACAAACCGTGGGCTGATTTCAATTCTTTTTAAATTAAAAACGCACATAAATTTTGGCCCTCGACCTTCAATAATTGCAATTTTTTTTTATTGTTCTCTGAAATGCGTGTTATTAAAATTATAGCCGTAGGGTAACCTCCGAGGTTTCTTCGAGTTGACTAATACTATATCTGATATCAGATATCTGATATTAATATTAGTAACTAACCTACCAATCAAATCGCAAGATCATCGCGTAATACAAAAAAAAAACTTGCAATTCTATTAATTCTATTTTATTTTTTTTTAAATGATTCAAAAAATACAAAAATTACAGTAATAAAACGATTATGTTCCTATCTAATAATTTTCCTAAAACTAAATGCTAAGCATAAAGCAGCATAAGAAATTGTTAATGCAAAATTGCCATTGCTAACATTAATTGGTAAAAGTAATGTGAAAAAAAAAAAAAAAAAGTATATACATATTAAGATAAAATTTCATGTAGATTTAATCCGCTTCTTGGCTGGCAAATTATCATCAGACGACGATGAATCATTAAATTCTTCATAGTTGAGACTATCCATGAATCTTTTTAAAGTTGTATAAACCTTATCATTAAACCGGGTATCTTCATGATGTTCTCTTACATATTTCTTCATCTTAAGTAAACATTCTTGATATTGCAATAAAGAAAATCTTTGATTTTTAGCGATAATCCAGGAAAAGAAAACGAATTCAATAGGTGATAATCGATGATTTTTATGAAAAATATCAAGATCGATTTCTATCAACAATGTCAAAGTATCAAAAACACGTTTAATTGTTTCTTGAAAATGAATAGGAATTTCACGAGTATTTCTTAAGTATTCTTCAATAACTTTAGGTCTTGCATTAAGTCTTTGAGGTTCATTTTCAATAATGAAAAATAATTGAGCCATAACATGAAATAATTTTCCACGTTTTGTATCCATGATTTGTGTAATAATATTATAAGTTTCATAAGTTTTATGCAAAAAATCAGACATCGTACTACTGATTGCCCAAAGTTTTTCTAAATAAACAAGTAATAAAATAAATGAACAAATGAATAAATGAATAAATGAATAAATGTAAAAAGTTTAACATCATATCATATTACTGTATTATCGTTATTGAATTACCTGCTGGAGTTAATGAAATCCCAAGTTGAACACGACTAAAGATTTCTCGTTCTTGCATTTGTGTAAGATCATAATATTCAACTATTGTATATAATTAGAAATATATATATATGTACGTATGTACATAAGTATTTGTAAGGAAAGAATTTATATATATATATATAGTATATATATATATATATATATATATATATATATATATATGTCGTGCCTCAGATCAATTCTGACGCAAGCATTAATCTGAGGCACAACATATATATTCTACGTATATTATTGTAAATTAATTATCGTTATATACTTACTACACACAATTTCTGAACATTCAAACGACTCTCTCTCGGTGTCAGTTATTGATTTTGCTCCTTTATGATTCGTAAAATAGCGCTTCGAACTAGTAATAGTCTTTTCGGAAGGCACTAAATGAGGTATTTCATTCTTTATGAATCTATCATTATAATAATAAAAAAAAATGACCGTCAGAAATAACCAAAAAAATAACGATCGTTTGAGTTACATTAACCTGCTAATTGATGTTAATCTTTGCTTTCCATCGATACATTTTCGTATCATACGATTGTCGTCTACTTTCTTGCATGAAAAAATGATTGGAGGAATGTAATAGTTTTTGAGGATAGAATCGATCAAGTGTGATTGCTTGATATCTAGTATTGGTTTAGTTATAAGTTTTTTTTATAATATTATAAGTTTGTTGTAATAATAACTAATTAACTTATTAAAGGATTGAAATCATTGAAATAAAAATTCTACCTTTCCATACGACATCTTTGAGAGAATAGTAATAGAATAATTGTTAAATTTTGACTATCGTTTTTTTTTTTTTGATTAAAAAAAAAAAAAAAAAATACCTCGTTGAAATTCAGGACTAACATTTATCATACCCTTTTCCATCCAATCATTTAACTTATACAAAGTATGGGAAACATTTCTAGGTTTGCATAATACGTCTGCCATGATTTTTTTTAAAAAAAAAAAAACAGTAAGAAACTTTTTGAAAATTTTAAATTTTGTAAGTGTAGAATTTGCTTTTTATGAGATTTCGTTACAAATAAAACTAATCGTTTGATCGATAAAAATTAAAACGTAATTATTTCTATACGATAATGTGTCATTACAATCTTCGTATTCAAATGACTTTATTCTCACTTACGATAAATTAGTCACTCTATTACAGTAATATTCTAATAAGTAACTTTTTTATATGCAATATCATACTATATATATAAAATTATATCATTAAATAAATTATACAGTAAATATATCTCAGTAAATAATGTCTCTCCTTGAAAAATGGTATCTAAAATTTGTAACTAATTTTTATACGGCGACTAATGCTATATACTGTGTTCGGTTAGAAAAAAAAAAAGAGATACCATACTTAATGTAATTTTAATAACAAATTAGGGATGTGATTTTGTGCTTCAAACAGTTCAGTGTATAGTTGAATGAATTTAATACTTTGGGATTTACTTAAAGTTTGCTTTATATATTTTGTATATATATTATATATATACAGTATATGTAAAAGCATAAAGAAATTATCTTGCTTGGATATTTTAATTCTATATCGATTTTTACGATTAAAAGAAAATAACAGGTCATGGATTATGGATTATAACCTTTGCCACAATCACGTGGGCATGTAGATGCAAAGCTTGCCTGTTGTAATTTGACATTATTTTAAGTTTCCGTAAATGTAATTTGTAATTTGTATTTGAACGAATCATATATTTAAATCAACTGATGCATAATGTTGGCCGATCTTTTGTAAAGCTGGTATTTTATATATAACGTGAAGAAAATTTCTTAAACGTTGTAATTTATGTAACACAACCCTATTGATATTGATGCAGAAAATGCAGGAATTAGATTTTATCGTGGATAATCACCACAATTACAAGGGAATTTCAGTATTAACAAATTAAAAATTTGCGCAAGAATAGAGAATTTTTAATTGCAAAATTTTATTTTGCAGATTATCGCAGAATTTGAATTTAGTTCCTGCCTTATTTGCCTAATTCAACGCATCGATTTGCTACGTAGTTAAAAATTTTTTCAAATTCTAAATCGGGCCAACTAGAAATTTATCTAACGCTAATATTAACGCTAATATTAATATTTAATGCAGTAATGCTAAGTTCTATAAAATCAAACCTGTTCAGATCAACCAATCAGAAGAAAATCCTTACATGAGTGTGAAATATCAATTCCTTAAAATTTTTTCGATAACGATAATCTTTTTTAATACCAGATACTGTATAGACGATTACAATAACGATAATGGGAAAAATCAAAAAATCCACTAAAAAATTTCAGAAACAACATTTAAAAGAAACAATTGAAAAAAGACATAAGGCACAAAAACTAAAAAAAGCTATTGCTAAAAAAAAAAATAAGCCGAATAGAAAAAATGAGAAAAAAAAGAAAGATTTATTTGAGGATCGGGAAGAAAATGACCTTGAGGTAGAAGAAGAAGACAGTGATGAAATGGAGGACCTGGATCTCGAGCAAATAAAACCAAATCGAAGTAGTTTAAAGTCTAATGAAGTATCAAAACATAAGGAACAACTAGAGTCATTAAAAGAAAAAGATCCGGAATTTTACAAATATCTTCAGGAAAATGATATGGACTTGCTCAATTTTGATATATCCGATGATGATGATTTTGATGATAATTTTGATGATAATTTTGATGATAATTATGATAGTGATATTGACGAAAATGGCAATGATGAAGAAATACTTTCCAATGAATCAAAACACAATTTCGAGGTAATTTGTTAATTGATAAAAATAAAGAATTTTGTATCATATACACAAATCTTTTCTATTACTTTTTTTAGAGTATGCAAGTAGACAATTCCGATAATGGCTTGAAAGAAACTGAACTTGGTAATGCTGATGATAGCATACCAACTTTGACTACTGCAACACTTGAGAAATTGCAAGAGGCCATTACTCAGGTAATAGCTAGACTTTATAGGAATTAAAAATGATCTTTGATTTCATCCCTAATTCTTTAATTCTTTAATTCTTTATTCGTATTTTTCAATAGTCATATTCTTTGCGATCTTTGCAAAAATTGTTATTAGCTTTCCGTGCGGCTGCTCATATTAATGATGGCGAAGAGAAACGTTATTCGTATAAAATTAATGATCCAGCAGGTTTATTATAGTTCATTGGCTTTGATCCTTTAAAATTTAATTCTTATAATTTAAATTATAATTTAATTATAATTTAATTATAATTTAATTCTTATAATTTAATTCTTATAATTTAATTCTTATAATTTAATTCTTATAATTTAATTCTTATAATTTAATTCTTATAAT